TTGTTCACAGCTCATTCCCCAGAACCTAGCACAATGCCCAGTATATAATATATATGCTGAATTTATATTGTTATATTTGAAATATTATAAGTTACCATAACTTGAGAGGGAATGCTTGAATAAAGATTTCAATTGTTTACCTATAAGGCACTCAGAACTTTATGGTAACAAGTTGAAATAGCTGTTAGTTGTTGGAAATTATTCAGATAATGATGATGGGTGGGGCCATGGAAACTAAGCTTTATCAAACACTGGGGCGTCACAAAAGACACAAAAGGCAGAATTGTAGATAATAAGAGGCCAAAGAAAGATTAAAAAGAAAACTGAGGGGATGGGTCATTGAGAACTGAGGGGATGTGTCATTGATAAAAAGTGGAATGGAAATTCTGTGGGAAAGCTTCAGTTTAAAAATTTGATTTTTCCAGTCACGGCAGATATTTTAATGTACATGTATCCTACAGATATCTGGGAATAGGAAATCAAACAGGAGAGAATAGTTGAACCTAAGATTAATGGAGACTAATAATGGGACAACCACATTTTACAGTAATAAGAGAAAGAGAAGTAATTAGATAAAAATTTCAGAAGGAAATTAATCACTAACATTCCTGGCAGGTTTTGCTCTATTTTGTTTTTAAGATATGTTTATGTTCACTTAAAAGAGAGGATATGATTGAATGTACTTAGGAAGAAAGAAAGCATGGTTTAGTCAAGAATAAGTTAGATGGTATCTTAATTCCCACCTGCCCCAGAGGTGGTCCACATGGCATGCAGACCTCTCCTGGCCCGCCTGCTGCGCCTGCTGCTCCTCTCAGTCATGTACTTTGTCAATCTGCCTGTGCCCGCTCTGTCTCTGGTGAATCCTCTCACCACCCCTGCACTGCTGACCTCTGTACCCCCAGTTCTGTATGTATAAATAAATCTTTAAAAAAAAAAAAAGATGAGAATAAAGTATGGAGCAATAAAATCATTCATTGACACCTTTGTTTTAGTCAAAAGCTATTCCCTTACCTGGTGACATATTTACTTGAAGGATAAAATAGCAGCCAACAGTCCATATAGTTGAGTGACTAAAAGATAAATGCAGGTGTTTATTTTTTGTTCAATTTTTAATTACAACAGACTTAATACTATTTTTTTAAGAGTATTTTTTTCATTTCTGTGCTTTGGACAAGTAGAATTTATTACCATTGAAATAAATTTTTCATATCACCTTTTATGTCTGTATTTTCTTTTAGTCAGTGATTTTCAAATTATTCTCTAGAAAGCCTGAGCCTTTTCATGGAACATTACTGGGAGTTGGAGGATATGTAGGCAAGATATTCTCCTGCCACCCTCTTTAACCGTAAGCATAGCAAATATGAAGTACAAATGCCTACTGTACCCACTAGAAGACAAAACTAATCATTTATGGGCTTCTCCCATTATATCTGGCTCCACCCTTCTTAATACAAACTTCAAATTGACACTAGAGACATTGGGAAAGTCATCAGCAATTAAACTATTTTTCATCCTGGAATCAAAATAAGGCTTAGATTTATTTGTAAGATTTCACTTGTTAGAGGCCTCACTGGTAGCCTGGGGGTTAAGTCTCAGCAACTGTCATCTCTAAAGCCCAAGTTCAATTCTCAACCAGGATGCTAACTCACTTATGGTACAGCAAATCTCTCATGTCTCAACCCAGTGATTCCCTCAACAGTGCATTTCAGTAGATCCACCTGTTCCGCTTCTCATCTGTCTTTGGTGGATCCTCTCATCTTCCAGCATTTCTGGCCTACACCCCAGCTTTTGTATATATAAATAAGTAAAACTTTAAAAAAAAATGGGAAAAAACATCAAAAAGCCAAAACTGGGTATAGGCCAAAGGTGATAGTGGTGGTGAGGAGGGAACAGAACAGGTGGGTTTACTGAAATACACTGCTGAGGGTGAGCAGTGGGTGAAGCAGGAAAAGTGTGATGTACCACATGGATACCTCTCTGGCAAGGGGTCATGCTGCAGTGACTGCCAGTAGCTTCATAGTGCTGAGACTTGACCCATTGTACCACCAGGGAGGCCCCACATTCCAGTTATTCAATGCAAAAAGTAAACAGTTTTAAAATGTTAAAAAAAGATTTCACTTGTTGGAAGTTTCTATCAACTTTGAAGGCTACAATTTTTTTGTCATTTTACTTTTTCATGTTGAGATTATCATAGATTCATGTGCAGTTGTAAGAAGTAATTTTATGTATTCTTCAGGTTCCCACAATAATACCTTGCAAAAATGTAATATAATAGAATGATCTGAATATTGTCATTGATATAATCCACCTATTTTATTCAGATTTCCCTAGTTCTACCTGCATTCATGTATTCATTTTTGGTGTATTTAGGTTCATGTATTCACCATCATTATTAAAACATAGAACAGTTTCTTCACCTGAGGGATCCTCGGTGTTGCCCTTTTATAACTATACTAGTTGTTCTTCATTTCTGTAACTTATTTCAAGAATATTATATAAATGGAATTATATAATATATATAACCTTTTGGGGATTTGTCTTTTTTCCTCTTCCACTTAGCATAATTTCTGTAAGATTCATCCAAGTTGGTACACATGTCAGTAGTTCATTCTTTTATATTGTTGAATAGTAGTCCATTGTTATTTTTTTTTTTTTTACATTTGGTAACTTTAGATTTTTCCTTTAAGATTGGTGTGGAATGGCTTTCCCTTTTGCTAACTCCTCTACTTTTCTTTCTCTCTCTTTTTTATTTATGCATACAAGAACTGGGGTAGATGCCAAAAGTGCAGGGAGGGGTGAGAAGATTCACCAGAGACAGAGTGGGGAACAGAACGGACAAATGAATGAAATACACTGCTGAGGGGAGCAGCAGGTGAGACAGGAGAGTCTGCTTGACATTCTAACTCTTGCTGCAGTGGCTGCTGATAGCTTCATGATGCTGAGACTTAACCTCTTGTGCTACCAGGGAGGCTCCCTTTTTTTAAATATTTAATTCCCATAAATGTTACTAGATGATCATAGCTAACACTTAACCTACATGCCTCACATAATTCTTAGAGTCAGAAATACATTCTATGATTATTCCTACTTACAGATGAAACACTCAGACTTCAAAAGAATAACCAACTATTACTAAGTGGCAGAGTATGAAAGCTGAAGCACTGCTACTTTGATAGTGAATTTGTAGTAACAGTTGGACTTGTACTAGAGTGAACTTCTATAGAACCAGAAAATATGCATTTTGAATATTGAATTTTATAATAGGTTTCCATTTTTCAAATGTTTTCCAATGTTAGACAACTAAAAGGGAAATTTTTTTCCTCAATAGAGATTTTATTATAGTGTAAGTTGATTTGGTGAAATTAATGGTTATTAAAGAGAAAATCAAGTTCAAATTTAACCAGTTAGATAAGTAGTCCTTACTTAAAAAATGGTTCTCCATAATTGTATGTACTTATGCATACATTAGTGATCTCATGGTTAGAGCATGGTTCTCTTAATTTATGAGTTGCTTTCAACTCACTGGGGAGATAGGCTTTTGTTTCTAAAAGCAGTAGGGAATTTGAATAGCTTTATCTTGTGATTATGTGCTTTGCACTGAAATATTTTAAACACAAATTTTATAACTTGAGCCAATATTTCTCTACTATTATAGAGTTTTAATACATTGTCATGGAATAGATGGAAATTTATTAAAAGTAAATCAAGTTTAGAGGAGGTGCAAGGTGGGCTTTGTTATTGTGCCAGGATAAGTGCATACCTCGTATTCTGGAATGGGACACCTATCTATTTATTCAACTTCTCTTTTTTTCTTTAAGAGAGGCTGTTATCAGCTCCCCAAACTATAAATTACAAATTAGCTCACCATCATTTGGCAAATTTTTTTTTTAAAAAGATTTATTAATGCACACAACAACTGAGATATAAGCCAGAGGTGCAGCGGTGGAGAGTGAGAGGATTAACCAGAGACAGACTGGAGAGTAGAACAGGTAGATGTACTGAAATACACTGCTGAGGGTAGCAGCGAGTGGGCCAGGAGAGGTTTGCCAAGCCATGTGGGTCATCTCCCTGGCCGGGGGATCCATTATGCTGCTGTGGCTGCAGACAGTGTCATAGTGCTGTGTTTTAACCCAATGCATCACCAGGGAGGGCCCAAACTTTTATTTTAGATAAACTTCTGCTTATTGAATCAGACTGCAAGTGTTTAAATTTTTTGATATTTATTACCTTTGTAACTTCGGATAAATTTAACCTCTTATCTGTAAAATGGGAATAATCTTACCAATACCATCAGCTTGTTTTGCAGATTAAGTATTTAGTTTTTTGGTCCTTCACAATTTTAAGTTTCTTTATTATCATCAGTAATTCAGTCAACTACGCCAAAAAGTCACCTCTTTATTCTCTTAGTGATGCATGTCCAAAATATAAACACTAAGTTTAAATATTTACTGAACTTTGTATACCTCACTTTAAATGAACTTTCACTCAAAGAGAATGTTAGATTGGGCACTTTTATTTGTAATGTTAGGAAGAAAATTTTCTCTTATTTTTTGTCCTTTCTGTCTTTGGGTATCATACTTCTCTTTTGATGTGTTTTTTGTTTGTTTGCTTTTTGAACTTATTAGCATGGTCTTAAAGATATGGCCTTCCAGTTTTATGATGGACTGTTTGTTATTTTAATTGCTTATTCTTGCCTTTTAACTCATTTTCCCTACTTGGATTTTGCTTACTTTTGTTTTGGTATTGTTGTCTTTGCTTTGTTAAATCTATTAAAAATACTGTATTTTTCTACTTTCTTCTCAGTTTGACTTGGTATTTAGCACTAGTTGTTGCCTTTAATTGTGTTTATTTGTATAAAAAGTAAATTTTATCTTTTCAAGAATTAGTTGTTGTCTTTGTGTGAGTACCTTTGATTTTAGGTGTCATGTGAGACAGAAGTACCTATAATTCTATGCTATTTTAAAAACAGCTCAATACTCCTATGTTCACTTGGTTTCTAGGTCTGTTCTGGATAGCAGGTTTTGTGAAGACATTAAATCTTTCTTGGACCTCAGATTTCCCAGACATCTCATGGTATTTCCTTTTATATTATTTCTTAGTGGTTGCTGTTTATTCTCAATGTGTTTTGTTTTTTGTTTTTTGGTTTTTTTAATGTATTTTCTTTGCCATTTGGATAACCAATTTTTGGATTCATTTATGTGAAAACTTTGAGGTAACTGTTTGGGATTCTATTGAATTCTTTTTTTTTCTAGTTATAAGTTCACATCTTCTCTGCTCATTACCTTGGCTTTCTCCCCCTTTTTTTCTTGTTGTTTAAAGACAGTAATTTGACCCTAAGTCATTTGTGACTGTACCATCAACTGCATTTTTAAATAGCATAAATTTTCTGACTAAAGAATTTTTTGTAATTAATGCATAGTAAAATAATTTGCCTATTTATGACCTCAGGAGACATGACCTCTTGTTGGTGACTTCTTGTGAGTAAATTGATGAGATCTTCAAATTTGAACTTAGTGGTTCTGTTTCAGATGGACAATGTATTTTTATGTAGAGGATGGTGTTTTTAAGATAGATGCATTTCTGGAGGTGTCTTGTAGTTGTTTTATAGCACTAATTATATGGGTTGACAACTCATTTGGTTAGTGATGCCAGAGCTGCATTTTCATCCTCTGGTGCTCTGAGTAACTCACCAATCCATTGTAGAGTACCCATTATATTCCAGGCATTGTGCAGGGTTTGAGAGACAGCAATAATCACACAACTATATGTCATTGTCTGAAATAGCTTTATGGAAAGCTCTTCAAATCACATCTTTTAGGTTGGAAATATTATTCAGTTTCTAAAAGAATACATAGAGATTTTATTTCTGCTTGTGTATGCCTGTGGTTAAACATAAAATGGACAACTACTTATTATAACAAAATATACCTAAAGTATATCCTGAGTCTAATGTAAAGATGTGCTGAGTTGGAGAAAACTTCAACCAGCTACCTGCCAACAAAGAAGAGAAATTTTTAACTGTAATTATTTGTCATTAGGTCCAGGCATTTAAAGAAATACAGAATAATGTAGCATTTGAAAACAAAATTAAGTTTTGTATATTACATGAATTCTGTCATTCAGGTATTTTATAATTTTACAGCCTTATGTAGGTTAATATATGTATCTTTTTCTCATTCTGCTTTGTTTTTAGTTGATGTTAATTTGGTAGAACAAACAAGTAAGAATATGCAAGTGGAGGACCATAATTATATTTTCAAAATCTATGAAATTATGATTCTCTTTAAATGACAGTTAAAGTGCTTTTCTGTTCACACATTTTATGATAAAACATGAGTAACTTTTTCTGGTTGTATACCTATACCCCTTATTGACTGCTAATTATTTGTAATGTAGCATACAAACTGTTTTACATTCATTATTTAATTTTCTTCACAGAACTCCTATGAGGATAAACCCTCATTCTATGAACAAGGAACCTTGTCTAGTTCATATATCTAGCAAGTGTTAGAGACAGGATTCAGTGCTTATGTTTTTAACTTTTAGGTACAGTTGTTAGTATTGTATATTTTTGTTATAATTTGTGAGTTAGTAGTTCTCTCCTGTTTATTCATTGTTTTAAAATAAGGGCTTTTTAAAAGAAGAATATTCATTTTATTTATGCATACAAGAGCTGTGGTGCAGGCTAGACAGAAGGGTGAGAGGATTCATCAGAGATAGAGCGGGGAGCAGAACAATTGAATTTACTGAAATACACTGCAGAGGGAAGGCAGTGGGTGAGATAGGAGAGGTCTGCTGTACCATGTGGCTTAGCCTCCAGTCCCAGGCATCAAACTTGGCTGCAGTGGCTGGTGATAGCTTCCTAGTGCTATACTGAATTCTTGTACCACTAGGGAGGCAATAAGGGCTGTTTTGTATAATTCAAACTACTATTACTATCTTATTTCTTGTTTTGTTATTTCACCCAAGAATGTATGCACTTACAGTCTATATCACATATGAAATAGAAATTAACCTCAGTAGTTATTTTTAAGATTGCTTCTATAAATTAAAAATAAAAACAAGAGCTATGTTTTATAGAAACATTGCTTTTCAGTATTTCAGGTATAGTGTGACAGGGACTTTTTTTTTTTAAGGTTTATTTATGCATACAAGAATTGGGATACAGGCCAGATGTGTGGGTGGTGAGAGGATTCACCAGAGATAAAGTGGGGAGTAGAACAGGCAGATGTACTGAAATACACTGCTGAGGGGATTAGCAGGCAGGACAGGAGAGGTCTGCCAAGCCATGTGGGTTAGCTCTCTGGGCAGGGATTTGAACTTGTGCTGCAGTGGCTGATGATAGTTTCATAGTGCTATGCTTTATTTAACACATTGCACCACCAGGGAGGGCCTATGACAGGGACATTTATGACTGGTCATTCTTTCCCTGTTTATAGTATTATCTTTATTTTGTCCCTGAAGGGTACTATATTACTGCTTTTTTGAAAAGACCTCGAGTAGATATTTCACAAGCAGTGTATATAGCAAGTGTTACAAAATGAATTTCGGTTAAAAAAGATTAGTTTCGAAGTGGACATCTTTTTGTTATTGTGGTATACTTAAGAGAACTTCAAGTATCTATATTAGAGGGATAGTACTAACTGAAAAGTTTAAGAACCCCCTCCCATAAGTGTATGTATGTATGTATGTAAGTATGGAAAATGACAACTACTGTAAAAAAATAGATTTTATTACAAGTAGGCTATCCTTTTACTTAGAGAAAGTGGAATTGGTTCATACTGTGATATATTTCTAAAACTGAACAAATTTTATTTAACCTTTCTTGTGTTAGTATTTATTGGTAAAATGGAGATTCCAATCAGAGTTGAGAGGATTACTATGGAAAAAACTCAGTATTTGTTAGTAAGGTGTTGCTATCAGAAATTTCATTTTTTTAATGAATGCTATTTGTTGGTTCCACACTAAGCAAAAGTGCCTTAATTATCCTTCTTTAGGGTTCTAAAGTCATTCCTTAAGGAAGATTATGATTGAGAAGTTTTTTTTTGTTCATAGTCACACAACTGAATTTCAGGAAAATAAATGAAATTAGAACTTCTCTGAGAGTTTTCCGATTCATCTTTCTGTTTCAATAAAGAAGGCTTTATTTTCATGTATTTTACTTACTGTTAATTATAGTAGTGTGTTAAGGAATATGGAAATGATTTTTAACTTTCTGTCCCCTTTTGTTTTAATCAGGATTTGTGGATGCACTTAGATGTTTGCAATGAGCACTGTGGCTGGCATGCCCCAGTGTTTTGGATACCAATGCATAGGACTCCATAGTAATCGAATTTACCAGAGGCGAACGTCATGAGCATAGTGATCCCATTGGGGGTTGATACAGCAGAAACGTCATATTTGGAAATGGCTGCAGGCTCAGAGTAAGTATTTAAGTGGAAGGTAATTTAAATACCTTCGGGAAAGGCAAAATGTTTCCTACCATTAGTTGATTGTATTTACATTTTTCTCCTTTAAACTCTGACAAAAATAAAATTACTTTATAAATAACTTTGAGCCAAAATGCTATCTATTTTTTCTAATTTTTCTATTTGCTAGTTGTTGACATCAATAATCAGGACAATAGGTTTGGGGTTTTTGGGTAAGATTTGTCATGTTTATATAGGAAAAATACTTTGGCTTTAAACTTCTAATTTGACAGTAAATTGCTTTTCAATGGGATCCATTTTTTATAGATTTAAGAAAAGGTATTCCTGCTTCTAGACTCTTTAGTGTAGGCAAGTATGTGAGTAGATTTTACTATATTTTGCTTTTATGTCACCAGTTACATTAACAGTAAGTTACTGCCATAAAGATTGTTTAGAAATTGCAAGGGGGTCAAGTGAGTGTTGGAAGCATGTTTCTTCTAAAATTTAGTTTATAACCTATTGTGTTTATTTAAGGGGACTCTTATTAGAAAATTCAATTTAATGGAATTTAAATTTTAAGAAAATGAAATTTATTTTAGGTGTCCTAAAACTGGTATATGGAAAAGAAAAATTAAGATTGTTCTCCTTCTCATACATTTCAAGTGGTGAAGAGTGTTTTCACCACTACTGCTTCTGCCATTGGGAAAGCCCTAGAGATGATTTTTAATTTTCATGTAACATACTATGTTGTAAAACAATAGATTCCCAAACAAGATACTGTTGGCCACTTGTTCTGGCCAAATAGGGACATTGAATCAAAGGAATTTCAAGTCTCAACTATAGTTTTCCCTAGTGTGAAATACCTGATAATATGCAAATCCATATTTGACAATAGTTATAGGCATTTGTTAGTAATAAAGATTCTTTGTTTCCTTCAAATATTCACCTCGGGCCCTCCCTGGTGGTGCAGTGGGTAAGGATGCAGCACTGCAAGCTGGCTGCAGCAGCTTCAGTGCGAGTTCCATCCCTGGCCCCTGATCCACATGGTGCGGTAGACCTCTTCTGACCCACCCGCTGCTCCCCTCAGCAGTGTACTTCATAGATCTGTCTGTTCTGCTCCCCACTCTGTCTCTAGTGCATCCTCTTACCATGCCTGCATCTCTCTGGCTTGTACCCCAGTTCTGTATGCATAAATAAATCTTTAAAAAAAAAAAGAAATATGCACCTCACTAGTCATCTTTTAACCTTTAAAGCAGTTAATACAAGGTATAATTTATGAAATGCTATTAATAAACTAGATAAAAGTTTGTCTATTATACAACATGTGATACTTCTGTGCCTTTTTGCTTGCTATACTCTACTATAAGGCAATTCACAAACATAATGAAAGCCACATGTATGCAGTTAAAAAGCAACGACTAATATGTTGAAAGATGACAGTGTAGGGTATAGTTGACAGCCAATTTTCTTTACCAAGTACATTTATAAAGTATTTTTAGAATATGTATGATTCTTATATAGTGACTCTTACAAAAATATGATCATTTCTGTTATGGGAAAATAAACAATTTGTAGGTAATTACAGAATAATTTTAGAATTTTAAATAGAAAATGTTTAATTTCTTTACCTGCCATTTTTAAAAAAATAAGACTCAAATTACTTTTCCCTCTCAGAGACTGGGAACATGATTCCTAACATTGTACTTTTTTAGTACTATTATCACCTAAATATTCCTTCCTACTATTAGAAATCATTATAAAGAATATAGAGTTTATGTATATTTTTGGACGAGGTGAACAAGTTAGTAAATGAAACATGTCTAAGTTTAAATGTGCATCTTTTTGAAGGAGGTCTACTAGCACTATATGTGGCAACACAGTAAATGCTGGGTTGTTGACTGAGAGTACTAAAGCGAGATACCTGGGTTCTTTCATTTTGTTTTGCCATTATCATAGTGAAGTCTTAGAAATTCCACTTTGCTACTGTAGATTGGGGTATCTTCATTTGAAAAAGTAGGTTTGGATTAAATAAAAAAAAAGATTATTTATGCACATGAAAACTGGGATATAGGCCAGAGGTGCAGGGGAATGAGAGGATCCAGCAGGGACAGAGTGGGAAGCAGAACAGGAGGATTGACTGAAATACACTGCTGTGGCTGTGGATAGCTCCATAGTGTTGTGCTTTAACCCCATGCACCACCAGGGAGGCCCTGGATTAAAGTATTAAAGATGAACTTTTTTACCCCAAATTTTTGAGATTAAGTGCATTTTTACAACCTTTGTTTTGCTACAGCATTTGTTTTAGTTATTTCACTAGAGCCACCTGCTGACAGAATTTATTAATTTGTTGAAGTGCAGGTGCTTTTAGTCTGAGTTATAATTCAAGATTCTGAAATGATTTTGTATAATAAAATGTTTTCAGCGTGTTCATTTCCTTTTTTGGGGGGCTGGTTTATTTTTTGCTACTCCTTAAATTTTTGCTTACACTTAATCCAACCAAGAAACTGGTATTTCCTGTGACTCTAAAGTAAATGATTTGCTTATGCTTACTTGGATATGCTTTCACTTAAATTTCTTTTATTTTAATTTAAAATACTGATTTAAAGTACCAACCTAGCATTGTTTAGAACTGGTCATCAGGGCCCTCCTTGGTGGCACAGCAGGTTAGGACGCAGCACTGCAAGCTAACAGCAGCAGCTTCAGTGCAAGTTCAATCCCCTGCCCCAGGGGTGACCCACATGGCACAGCAGACCTCTCCTGTCTTGCTACTTCCCTCAGCAGTGTACCTCATCGATCTGCCTGTTCTGCTCCCCTCTTTGTCTCTGGTAAATCCTCTCACTGTCCCTTCACCTCTGGCCTGTATCCCAATTCTGTATGCATAAATAGTAAATCTTTTTAAAAAATGCATAATAATAAATAAATCTTAAAAAAAAAAAACCAAAACTGGTCGTCAGATAATACCAAATTTTTTATTTTATGCCTAGTCATAAACAGTTTTTTCCCTTGTGATACTTCATTAAGAGGTATGTCTATACAATTGTAACAGTGTATAATACCTTTGAATTATAGAGCAAAATAGAAATTATTTCCATTTTACCGAAGAACTATAGCTTAAGGAGATTGACAAACATAAGTTTACACAATTAATAGAAAGTAGAGTTGGATTTGAGCTCAGAGTGGTTTAGCTCCAGAGCCATCCTGACTCAGAAGAGTCAGACTTTGTTAATGATCAATTAAATAAATTAAAATGCCCTATTTGTTAAGCTGAGGACAGTTTGACACCAAGCCTGCGTTCCAATTTAAAACATTTCTTGTATGTTATAATATTTGTAATTTTAATATGAAATCTTTAAAAAATAGATCAGGATTCACAGGGGACAAGTTTGGATTGCAAATTTAAAGAAATACATTGAGAACTCATGGGGATTGTTTTCATTCATTACTATAACACTTAAGCAGCTAATTTATCTGCAAGTCATTATTCATCACCAGTGTGTATTTTGAATATTGTATCATTAAAAGAGGCTTTACCTAAAATACTAGTGTAAACTACCTATTAAAATCTAGCACATTTTGAAGGTGTTCGTAGGAAAGACATTAAATTTCTAATGAAGCAGGAACTCATAAAAAATCCATCTTCTGAGCATGCATAAATTATTCAAACTTCTGACCTGTTTTCTTTGCTTCTCTTAATGATTTACACTTTTTTTTCTTTTTAGATCTTAAGTTTTTTCAGTTACTGGCTGACTTATGTGTCTGCCCTAAGAATATATAATGTGACTGGGGTAATAACTTAGTGTTTTGTTGTTGTTGTTGTTGTTTTTAAAGATTTTATTTATTTATTCATACAGAACTGAAGTACAGGCCAGAGATGCAGAGGGTGAGAGGATTCACCAGGGACAGAGCGGGGAGCAGAACAGGCAGATCTACGAAGTACACTGCTGAGGGGAGCAGCGGGTGGGCCAGGAGAGGTCTACCGCACCATGTGGTCACCTTGGGGCAGGCGGAAATCGAACTCATGCATCAAACTCATGCGGAAGTGGCTTAAGCTTCTTAGTGCTGTGCTTTAACCCGCTGCGTCACCATGGAGGACCTACAGTGGTTTTTTTTAAAGAATAAGAATATTTTGGTATGAACAAGTAAGATTTATTTGTAATGTATATCTAGAAAAATGTGCCAATATTTAGTAAACTACTGCAATCAAAATGATAGTTGTTCTGTCTTCTGAGTTTTGACAATAATTTACTGCTACAACATAATTGAAAATAGCCTTTCATTATTAAGAATGGAAATAAGGCCCTCCCTGGTGGCGCAGCTGGTTAAAGCACAGCACTAAGAAGCTAAAGCCACTACCGCATGAATTCGATCCCCGCCTGCCCCAGAGGTGACCACATGGCGTGGCAGACCTCTCCTGACCCACCCACTGCTCCCCTCAGCAGTGTACTTCGTCAGTCTGCCTGTTCTGCTCCCCACTCTGTCTCTTGTGAGCCCTCTCACCCTCTGCATCTTTGGCTTGTACCCCAGTTCCATATGAATAAATAAATAAATCTTTAAAAAAAAAAGGAAATAATGCATAAAGAAAATTTAATTTTAATAAAAGTGTTTGCTGTATTTCTAGTTTTTAAAGCAATGAAAAAGTGATATAGGTTGAGGATTACCAGAATTCAAACTTTGTGTCATTCTAATAAAGTGATGATTGCAATACCACTTACTAACACAAAAATGAGATAAAGCTAGTTACCTCATTAAATCATCAATCCACATGAATCAGTAGCACTCTAGTAATTGCAAAGGAATGTTGGGGTAAATGCAGTTTGGTAAAGAGCTATGCCAACTTAATAGATCTGGGTTTTCTTATTTTCTTTGCTCTTATAATGCTACATGACTTCACTTCTCAAGTGTGGAAACAGTAGGCTGTTTTGTAGGGTGTCTCAAGGATACACAGTCACTTAGTACTAGTTAGGGCTGAGTCTAGAGTTTGTGACATTTTTACAACCATCTCTGATCTGTAATTA